TGAACCGGGATTGCTGTTATTTTCTTTAGAGAAGCAAAGCATTCTGTAGCGCTAGGCAAAGTTATTAACCAAAATGTATATGTATATCTGTCCATGATTGGAGGTCCGACGCTCCGGGTTAGTCTCGCTCAATTCACACATGAAACAGGGAGGGGGGTATGTGAAGGTAATAGACCAGTTTGGGTGAGTCCCAGTGCCACAATTTAAGACATGTCAACATCTAACTACCCCCCCTCCTCCCCCACTTCCAATCTTGCTTCGATTTTCCTTCCGTCAAGTCTGAAATAATGCTTGTTTTCCCGTAGAGTTGTTTATCAACTTCAGTATCCAGTTGCAAACCGTGTGAGCAGGAACTACGGCACGATCTCCTGCACTACATCACTGAATGCCCAGTTATTAGACCTTTCAGACCAGTTGGCATGAGGTACCTGGAGCTTTGCAATTTATTCATTCTCATGTTCTTGAAGATATCCTCACAGTGTACCCAAAATTTGCCAGTGCAGGCTACTAAACATATGGCCCTGTATGACTAACATCCTGCGAGATGGGGACTTGTATTATCACTGCTACCTTATTCACTCTTGTGTTGATGATATCCTCATAATGCACCCGGAGTCTGCCAGTGCAGACTGCCTATCACATGTCTCTGTATGACTAACCATCCTGCGTGATGGGGATTTTTTAGCATCACATAGTTAGCTTTTTTTGACACACTGTACTCCACTTCATATAGTCTAGGGTAGCTGCACTATCTTAGATGTACCTAATGTATTAATAAAAAAAATGAAATATTTAATTTTCTGAGAGGGGATGGAGAGGGGGAGGGAAGGAGTAGGGGGGGAAGGGAGAGAGGGGGGTGGGGGTGGAGGGGGAAGGAGTGAGGGGAAAGGGAGAGGGGAAGGGGTGGAGGAGGAAGGAGTGGAGGAGGGAAGGGAAAGAAAGGTGGAGAAGGTGAAAGAAGAGGGGGAGAGGGGAAGGAGCGGTGGGGGTGGGGGAGGGAAGAGATCAGAGAGGGGAGGATTGGAATGGAAGGCAGGGAAGGAGAGGGAGGGAAGGGCGAGAGAGAGAGGAAGGAGAGGAGATGGGGCCGAGAAAGGTGGAGAGGGAGAGGGGTAATGTTGGGGAGATAGCGGGGAGGGGGGGAATAGGTAAGAGAGAGAGGGGGGTAGATGGGTTAAAAAGGAAATCACACACACACCTCGTCAACCAGGCTGTGATTTATAAGTTACGGCGTCTAACAGCCTGGTTGACCAGACCACCAACCAGTAGCCCTGAGCAGAGTCGGGGGCCATGGGGACATTGATCCCTGAAACCAAACAAGGGAAAACACACACGAATGTACTTTGAAACCCTGCTGTATTACTCTGCTGTGTACAACCTGTTGTACTCTCAACTAATAGGTCGCGTTGTAACTAGCGTTACAAAGGCAACCTACTGTGAAAATTAACGGCTTACAAAAATATCTACGTTTTCTATGGATCGGAAACATATTTGTTAGATAGGTTGCTTGGGTTCGTACGTTTCTCTTCAGGTTGAATTTTGTTTAGAGAGAGGCTATCCAAGTTGCCACTCGCAGACTTGCTGGAGTCTCAGCGTTAATGTCCAAGATTACTTTGTTTTTGTTCAGAAACTTGACGTTTTATCTAAATAGTCGTAAAAACGACAAATTTATTGCATTCTTTAATGTTTGTGTTCAGGTTATTTATGAGTTCTGTGATTTTCACCATAAAAGCTAGATCTCTAACCCATTCATTATACTCCATTTCATACTTATTATGCTTTCCTTTCTGTTCCATAAATTTGTTCATTTCACCACGTATTTCATTAAAGTGCTCCAGTACAGCTCTTTGACTTAGCCATCAAACATCAGTGTGATATAGCATTTCCCCAGGGACCAAATTTTCTCCCAAAAAAAGCTGTTGAATTCTCCGTGGTTAATGTTTTACCACACAGGACGTTTCTTAGGAATAATGCAATGGAAATGTGAAACTCGTGGTTGGCGTTCACAGCTAATTTTCTTTACTTTCCTACCCACCATTTGCGATGCTCCACCTGTAGCCAGCCTCGCAGATCTTGTCCAGTAAACGCCTAGTTTGTCCAGAGCCAAACAAAACTATCACCTCTTTAGATTGTTCCTTTTATTAGTAGAAATTCCACAAGCTAAAGCAATTACCTGCTTTATTTCATCAATGGCACGTATAAATATTGCAAGTTGTATTGTGTCAGTTACATCTGTGCTGACATATCAATGCCAATACAAGATGGTGTAATACATCTTTATTTTCTCCTCGAGTTGACTGTTAAAACTCATCCTATGGTCTACCAGGATAACAAATAAATGATATCCACTGAACTGACAGTCCCCAAAATCATATTCTATGGGACCTTTATGAACCTCCCATAGAACAGACACCACAGCCAAAATCGGGGTAAATTTCCAATACAATTGAAAGTGTTAACTGTGTGCTCAAGGTGCAGTGGAAGCAGAGAGGCCCGCGGGCCGTATAGAGACGGGTGCGCCCCACCTGTCTAACCTGTTTTAGTTTTTCTCCCTAGAGCTTGAATTCCAACAATTTTTGTTTATATCAGAATCGTCCAAGTAGTTGTATTTTTTTTATCCTATATCCAGTTAATGCACTGTCCTATATGCCTCTTTCCAACAAAAGAATCTTTAGAATATAAAAAGTTAAGTATTCAGATAATTCTGCAGATAATTCAGAAAACTGCACTTTCTTTTGGATCAGTTCATTTCTAACAGTACGTGAGAAAATCCTTTAAGAAAATTTCTTATAACACTCTACTTCGTATGAAATAAGGCTAATGAAACCACATCAGTATTTTCTCCAGAGAAAAAAAAAAAAGATTTATTTTGACAGTATCAACAGCCCTTGAGAGCAAATGCTGGAATGTTTTTATAATCTTTAAATAACACTTAAAGAGATGAAGACAGGGAACACCCAGATATTACCAGACACCGGCGGAGGACTAGTGGAGGGCATCAACCTCAAGATATAGCAAAACCTCTGCTGTGAGGTTGCCTGCAGCGACGTTTTCCCGCCACTAAAACCTCTGCGCGCGGTATTATTAGGCTGCCTGCAGCAGCGTTCTCCCGCCACCACCCGATAGACCAGAGAGAGCGAGTTGGATGCGCTTTTCCGCGTTCACATTTTTCCGGGTCCTTTCATCGAAGAGCGCCTTTAAACGCTCAAGTTCAGAGGTCAAGTTCATTTTTTTTTTGCTTTCAGTCTTTTTGTAGATGTATATAAAGTGGTTTGGTGTTGGGCCTATCAATGTCTGGAGGGTTATTTTAAGGCGACCTCAATAGCTTACTGGCCAGCCAGCGAGTATACTGTAGTTCTGGACATAATTCAGAGCTCAAGTACACTCAATGTATATACACCGAAAATCGAGGTACATTTCTCGGTGTATATATATTCCTGATGATGTATATATATTGTTTGCAGCAAGTTTACATAAGGCAAAAATATAAAAGAGTAAATCAAATATATACTAGGTATTAAGAAATGTTAGTCACAAGCTGCACTAACAGTGTGGTATAACCAATGAATATACATTTTTTAAAACAAATTAATATATTAATTTTATTAAATTTTGTATTAATTTTATTTAATTTCTATCAAATCTAGAAGAAAACGATTTATCACGATCATATAAGGCTAACTAAACAAATAATAATTTTTTTTAAACAAAACTTGCGTTGTTAATATTCTCATATTTACTGTAGATTGATTATGAACTATACAGAGGTTATAATATTACGGGCTATTCATGCCCGTGCCACCTCCTGGGTGGCTTAATCTTCATCAATCAATCGGTTATAATAGAGCAACGTTAGTTCAAATGTGACTGGAAAGAGGGGGAGGGAGGGAACTAACAGGGGAGAGCGCCAAGCCATTACGACTATATAGCACTGGGAAGGGATCAGGATAAGAATTTGGGATGGGACGGGGGAAAGGAATGGTGTCGAAGCACGACGAAATTGATGATAAAGCCTGGTGATAAGATCAATGTAAGGGGGTTTAGTATGAGTATGAACAGAGCCCCATGGTATGACGAAGGTTAAATAGGGTTTTATCCCCTAAACGTCGTCGTCCCTTCAACTTCTAGTGTGTGGTCTGGTCAACAAGGTTAAATAGGGTTCGGGGGATGGCCCCCAAGGGTGATTGGCGCGCCATGATGAGAATACAACCCGTTCTCGCACTTTCTTACAGTCAATATTGACTTATTAAATAAGTGCATATGTGACACACTAATTTATTGTGAATATTTTAGTTTACCTTGAAAAGCTTCATAGAAAACACCGACCTTACCTAACCTTCTTAGTATGTTAAGATAAGCATCTTATTGCTTCGTAATTACAATTATTACTTAACCTATACCTCTAATAGGTTAAGTAATAATTGTAATTACGAAGCAATAAGATGCTTATCTTAACATACTAGGAAGGTTAGGTAAGGTCGGTGTTTTCTATGAAGCTTTTCAAGGTAAACTAAAATAGTCACAATAAATTAGTATGTCACAAATGCACGTATTTAATAAGTCAATATTGACCATACGAAAGTGCGAGAACGGGTTGGAGAATAGTGCCCCAGAATGTTGGTGGAGACCTAAGGTGTTATCTCTCTCTCTCTCTCTCTCTCTCTCTCTCTCTCTCTCTCTCTCTCTCTCTCTCTCTCTCTCTCTCTCTCTCTCTCCTCTCTCTCCTCTCTCTCCTCTCTCTCTCTCTCTCAAAGGCCTTAATCACCCAGCGTGAGTAAGGCCTTTGACAGCAATAGAATTAGGAGCAAGCGGTGAATCCTGATCATATGTGGCATTCTTCCAAGTGAATTTGTGAATTAACTCTCCAGGGGTCAGATTCACGAAAGCACTTACGAACGTGTACATCTTTACTCAATCTTTGACGGCTTTGGTTATATTTATTAAACAGTTTACAAGCATGAAAACTTGCCAATCAACTGTTGTTATTGTTATAAACAGTCTTCTGGTGCTTCGGAGTTTATTAACTGTTTAATAATTGGAAACAAAGCCGCCAAAGATTTAGGAAAGATGTACAGGTTCGTAAGTGTTTGCGTAAGTGCTTTCGTGACTCTGGCCCCAGGGCTCTTTGTGAACGAGGATCTTGTTCTGGAATTTCCCTTACGCCTCATAGATTCACTCCCATTAAAAGTGAACCACTTAAAATCGAAGTCTTTTATAAAGGAACGGAAACAAAATGACTTGAAAAAAAGGGACTGATTACTGACATCATGGTGAGGTTTCCTTATCATGGCAAAGCAATTGTGTATGTTATCAGTAGTCTTATTTAACTTAAAATTATGTTAATATATCTGAGTGTAATTGGTGTGGTGTATTTGTGATAGGACCGATACATGACGTAAGTTGTTAGCGAAAAATGTGGTTGATACACATACCGAGAGTTGAGCATTCTACTGACCCTCAAGCTACTAACATTGACCAGCAAAACACCTTTGCACTTAAAAGAGGTTTATGTATTCCGAAAGCTTTTCTGTCTCCCCTGTAAGCTCTCAAGTCTCTATTCTTATAACATTACCGCACTTCAATGTCCTTTTGTTTTTCCTTGCTTCAAATTATAACATACAGGGCTTCAACAGTTCCAGTTTTTTTTTAACAGTTTCCGTAAATTTAATGAGGTACAAATCCAATCCATTTCCATTTCACAGACTTCTCCTTGCCTTCTTGCTTACATCAAGACTCGTCTTGGGATGGCGTATTTTCTTCTCTAGGCGTCCTTCCTCACTCCCTCATCATAATAATATCCATTACTAGCAAAGCTTTTTGTAAAAGTAGCATTACTGTATAAGCAGATTTCTTAACATTTACCTTAAGTTCTACAGATCATATGGATGGTAAAATCTAAGTCAAATTGGATTTAGATAAGTTCACTCACGGTAAGCAGGCGCCCTCACCTGCTCTCTAAATCAACCGGGTGGCGACGTCTTTGAAAAGGTGGTCATAGGTCACACAGTTCCAATACAACAAGTATAAAACATGAACAACAAGGCCACACAGAATGTGCCATAATGGCTGTGATTTAGGACCTCCATTCTCGAGCGGCGGGCGGTATAAGCCCTGCCCACACTGGCTGGTGACCTCAGCCAGTCATCAAGGACCTGGGACGGGAATGGTCCACGTGGTCGAGAAGTTCGATCTTGTGCACAGGACCAGTCACGAAACGTTAAAAAAATCGAGGAGTAAAAAACTGTACTATATATAGATATTTAGCGGCTAGTGCCTATCCTATTTTTTTCTGTTACAGTATATCTTAATATAAACGAAATAACAATGAGGAATAATTAACAGTTAAGTCAACAAGAAAGACTAAGAGCACGAAGATCTTATTGTGTCAGGAAGGAAATCATGTGAAGATTTCCCCTCCCAAGTTATACAGAAGATCATCACACATTTTATCATTACATCAGTATGAAATGGAATATGCAATCCAACATAGTCTAAACACCAAGTTCACAACCATACACTTGAGCCTTGACTCTTGAGGCAATCAGTGAGTTTGAGAGTCGAGGGAACCGGGGCTACTGGTGCAGATGCTTCTGCCGTTCACCGTCAGTCTCAATGGAGGGAGGGTCAGGGCTAGCTGCTGCCGCTTGCTGGGGGAATAAGGTTTTTCCTGAGATCGGCTGTGCTCACTGAGGCGCCGGACGATCGCTTCGACGAACACAGAGTTTTCACTAAGACTTCTGACGAGGTTGGGTGGGATGGTGAGACTCTTCCGTGGTGTGGAGAGCAGAGGCAAGGAGCAAGTGTGGCACCGCATGCGGCCTCGGGTTTTGTATCTTGCCCTGCGAACTCCCAGCGGCCTGCGAAGCCCCAGTCTCTGGGCTCTCGGGTCTTTGGGCCAACCATATTCTTCTAACTTTACGTCGAGAGACTGAGGCTTCACGTCTTTGTAGTGTGAGAGTGACTGAACTTGTGTGTCTTGAACCCAGATGTCATAGTGGGGGTCGTCACTTACTGTAGAGTGAGCCGTCTTCATAGAATCAGAATCATTATCGATGGTTCGCCACATAAAGGCGCATTCGTCCTCAAAGTGGCCGGGCGGGAGATCGCTGAGCATCACGGCCTTGATATCGTCTGGAATTTCAGTTTCAACGGCGTCAGGAAAGTTTTCTGGAAGGACTTGAGGTATATCCTGAGCCATACTTAACTGCCGCGTATAGGGTCGCCAGGTAATAACGGGTTTCTTCCGTACCGCTAGTCTCGCTTTGATTGACGCCGGCAGACGAAAAGCTGGCTTGACTTTCTGTTTGTATTTTTCATCACGCCACGTCTCCTCTTCGTCGCCGATGCTGCCCATGTCAAGGGTAACGGAGTCGCCTTTGTCGAGGGTGTGAGCCCAGCTGGAGAACGGCAAGATGACACAGTCCATATCGTCGGCTTCCTTCGCGGCTCCCTCAGTGGCAGTAGCGACCCCTACCAAGCTGGCCTGGCTTACCTTCTCCGGATCCGCGGCAAGAAAGCCTTGATGCGCCCCAATAGCCAGTAGAGCACTCCCAATACTGCAATAGAGAATCCGCTTGTTAACTCACTTATTAGCTCATTAACAGACCCGCTAACTTTTAACTAACGGTGACATTTATGCTATATAATCCTTTCATAGTTTCAGTAAATAACACGTTAATGCACTTCAAAGTATTGACTTAACCCTTTATTTCTAGTTTTGACCCCCTGGCTGCTGCGACAGTACCATGAGCCCTAACCCAGTGGGCATAATATCCTGAGTGGCGTTGGTTCGACTTTGAATCAGTGTGGATTCGGCGTTGAATTAGCGTCACTTTTGGATATTGTGGCCACTGGACTGGTAGGCCCATCGTCCTCAGCCGACCGACACGACTGAGGTCGTGTCGGTCGCCCCATCTATTTCCATCTATTTCGTGACGCCGCATCTATTTCCAGGCATTGATTGATTAAGATTAAGCCACCCAAAAGGTAGCATGGGCATAAATAGCCCGTAAGTGGTGGCCCTTTGGAGCCATTACCAATATCATTAACTGATACTGGAGATCTGTGGAGGTGCGACTGCACCCTACGGAGAGGTCGTGACCTTCCAGGCATTTTGAAACGAGTTTCTCATAGTCATACAATTTTGGCACTTATGACGGCGTTTTTATTTGTGAAAGATAAAACTTGTAATTTAAACCTGGTATCAAATATAATTTGGGTTATGCCTTGTGGTACAGTTGACTTCTTTCTCGACTTACAGTGTTCGAATCTCGGGTTCGATTCCCGGACGAGACCGAAATGATTGACACGTTCCTTTCACCTAGTGCCTCTGTTCACCGAGCAGTAACTAGGTACCCGGGAATTAGGCAAGCTGTTGTGGGGGGGGGGGTGCATTCTTGGGCGGTTCAGTAGTTCAACTTTGGGGGGGGGGGGTCCTCGACACAAATTTTTTTGGAACACTTCCCATTAGCTCTTGAACCAGATGATTACATTTTGTTAATAAGCATGGTATTACAGTTAGTTTTGATTTTAATTACCTAATCTTTGGAGCGACAGTGAAACGATTGTTTGCGTCGCTTGACGACGACTATTAACGCTGATTACGTAATTGCGTCTTTAGTTGACAATTTTTGTTATAATAATAGATTATTAATAATTGTTTTGATAAATACTTATTAACTTGGGGAATCGGGGAATACAATCAGCGAGAGGTGTACCTCTGCTCTCACGTGGGATACAATCACAGGTGTACCCCTTCTCTCACCTGGGATACAATCACATGTGTACCCTTTCTCTCACGTGGGATACAATCACAGGTGTACCCCTTCTCTCACGTGGGATATAATCACAGGTGTACCCCTTCTCTCACATGGGATACAATCACAGGTGTACCCCTTCTCTCACATGGGGTACAATCACAGGTGTACCCCTTCTCTCACGTGGAATACAATCACAGGTGTACCCCTTCTCTCACATGGGATACAATCACAGGTGTACCCCTTCTCTCACATGGGATACAATCACAGGTGTACCCCTTCTCTCACATGGAATACAATCACAGGTGTACCCCTTCTCTCACATGGAATACAATCACAGGTGTACCCCTTCTCTCACATGGAATACAATCACAGGTGTACCCCTTCTCTCACATGGAATACAATCACAGGTGTACCCCTTTTCTCACGTGGGATACAATCACAGGTGTACCCCTTCTCTCACGTGGGATACAATCACAGGTGTACCCCTTCTCTCACGTGGGATACAATCACAGGTGTACCCCTTCTCTCACATGGAATACAATCACAGGTGTACCCCTTCTCTCATATGGAATACAATCACAGGTGTACCCCTTCTCTCACATGGAATACAATCACCGCGGTGATACCCCCACTTCCCCCAAGAGAACATATGAACACCGAGAAGCGTATATTCAAACCTCAACTTTGCGACTTTGCGAGGGATGAAATGGTATAACTGAAAAATACAATATATGTTTATTAAAGCGAGAGAAATATAATTGACAGCTGAAAATCTAATTTGACGGAGAGTGGAGCAGAACTCTGAGAATGCGATCACATGTTTACCTTAATCCTGACAGACTTGTCAGGATTAAGAAACACCGAGAATTCTTGCTCAATGTTTATTTAAATTATGATACGGTTCCCGCTCTCAGGGAACATGAGCAGACATGTTGGGACCCGAAAGATAGTGAACTATGCCTGGCCAGGATGAAGCCAGAGGAAACTCTGGTGCAGGTTATCTTGAGATGATTTCGGGGCTTTAGTGTCCCCGCGGCCCGGTCCTGGTCCTCGACCAGGCCTCCACCCCCAGGAAGCAGCCCGTGACAGCTGACTAACACCCAGGTACCTATTTTACTGCTAGGTAACAGGGGCATAGGGTGAAAGAAACTTTGCCCATTGTTTCTCGCCGGCGCCTGGGATCGAACCCAGGACCACAGGATCACAAGTCCAGTGTGCTGTCCGCTCGGCCGACCGGCTCCATCAGGTCCGTAGCAGGTCCGTAGCGATTCACTAGAAGCCTGTAGCTTAAGGTGATCTAGCTCCCACTTGGCCAATTACTGACCCCTCCCTAGTATGCATCTCGCAAGTTAGCTAACTCCCTGGTACCTATTTCCTGGTAGGTGTACAGAGGCATCAGATGAAAGGAAACGAGCTCCTCCGTGTCTGTCGTGCTGCGTGAGGCGAACTAAGGGGCCCTCGGTTGTAAGCCAACGACGTAGACCACTAGGTAAAGGGTCAAATATAAATACTTTGAAACATTACATACACAGATCACACTAACGTGAATCATCAAATGATTAAGGCAGTGTCTGGGATGCTCCCGGACGCAGGTTCGAATCCTCGTCACGGCCCTTGTGGATTTGTTCCTTTGAAACATTCTTTGATTCAGCATATACGTTAGTCAACAATGTATATTCGGTTATTTTTTAGATTAATGGTTTGAATGTGGACAAATTGTTTAGGAAAGTGAGAGGGTCCAGATGTAAGTGATCAACTGCATTGGGCTTTACACTATAGAACCAAATATATAGAGATTTAAGATGGGGGGAAAAATGCCTTTTTTCAAAAGTCATTTGCAAGCTATTTTAAAATATTAGAAATAAAACTCGTCACGTTTTGCAGTATCTGAGGAAAAGGAGGAAACAGTGCAACATGATAAATAAAGTACATTTTAGTTGTTCAGGGCAAATAGGTTAAGTTGATCTCTGAGGGTGAGACTTACATCAGTAAATGTGTAAGGGTTCACCTGAGGTCAGTGTAGCTTACGTCAAGGGACGTTTTTCGTTATATAAATGTATCATAATTGTTAATTTCCAAGATTTAACATTTCTCTTAGCTTTTGACACCTAAAAAAGATGAAGAATTATTGCTATACATAAACCTAATTAAAATAATTTTGGAGTATGTCATCATCATACTAAAACATTTACATAAAAATATAGATTTTTTTATAATATTTTAGTCTATCGTGTATGTATATATATAATATATATATATATATATATATATATATATATATATATATATATATATATATATATATATATAATATATATATTATATATATATACTATATATTGTTCTCATTCTCACAATCGACTTGAGAATGGTCCAGGACGGACCGAAACGTCGTCGTCCCTTCAACTTTTAGTGTGTGGTCTGGTCAACATACTTCAGCCACGTTATTGTGACTCATCGCCTGCATATATATATATATATATATATATATATATATATATATATATATATATATATATATATATATATATATATATATTTATATATATATATTTATATATATAATACACACACATACACACACTAGTCATCCTGCAGACAAGACTAGTTATACACTACTTTAATTCAGAAGCGGACGTTATGTTAGGAATTGTTCTTGTATGCTTATATCAGGCCACAACTGAACTGAGAAGTGAGTGCTATTGCCTTAGACAGCATTAGCATAACATATGAGGTTGGTGCGGTGGGGAGAGGGGGGGAGGGGAGACACCATTGGTTGCTGTATGGTTTACTTGTCAACCTCGGGTAGCAGGACCCCAGTTCTTACCCCTTACTACCTGCAGTGCCAGTCCGTCTGCTTGAAGACCTGGACAGCGGCGCCGACTTCGAGCTGTCTCTTCGAGCGCTACGGGGCGATGGACTTCCGCCTATCAGAGTGAGACCATCATCAGGCACGCTCAAGCTCCGCAGGTCCTTGCTGCCTGAAAGAGACACAGGATCGTCAGTCTTTCCATACAGTGAATGTTTTTTATATGAATGCTGTGATATAGAAGGATCGAAAACGTTCACCTACTGCTCTAAGCTATGATGGCATTCCTTACCTTCCTCGGTATCGTACCTGTAACATCTATAATATTTGGAATTGAGGCTTAAACAGAAAACTTCAACGGTTATTGCCTGTTGAGGAAGGAAAGGAAGAAATATTTTTTCTGTGAAGTTGTTTGAGGGACTAATTCAACTGCTTGGTAGGCAAATTTAAGCTCCTTATGAATCTGAATGCAGCTCTCAGATAATAAGTTCACGACAATGTCTGTCCAAGGGAGATAATTTCCAGAGATACGAAAATAGAAAGTAATGTTCCCATTTTATAGGTGAAAAGAACCTAGGCTTCATTATCAGTATGAAACGGTAAATACATTGTTTAATATTTATATAAATATTTCTCGTCCGTATTATAGACGAGAAATATGATAACGTGAGGAGTCGCTCTGGTATATTGGTTACTACACTTGCATCCTCTTACGAAACCTGTATATCTTTCAACAATCATGGCGGGTTTGATTACATTTATTAAACAGTTTAAGAGTTTTGAAACATAACACAAGGTTATTCTTATAAATAACCTCCTAATGGTTCGGAGCATATTAACTCTTTAAGTGTAAACAAGGCCACCATGATTGTGTAAAGATGTACAGGTTTTGTAAGTGGATGTATAAGCGCTTGATGAATCGTGGCCCAGGATGGAATCTATATGTACGACGAATATGGGTACCCCCCCCCCCCCCATCCCTCACAGAAGTCAGTTACACTGACCAACACAGGTCCACTCTCAGAAAGCCTGGCTTCACAGAGCTGGGAGTCGGGAGACATCTCCCGTCACGCAGGGTGCAGTCGCACCTCCACAGATCTCCATTATCATCTATTGATACTGGTAATGGCTCCAAAGGGCCACCACTTACGGGCTTTTCATGCCCGTGCCACCTTTTGGGTGGCTTAATCTTCATTAATCAATCAAACTATCTCACGGGCTGCTGTTAGAAGACCGCGCAAGCCGCATCCAGCACAAATTGAAACCAAAATAATGTCATCAGTAAAAATATTGGAGGTTAATTGTTTGTGTCGGCTTAGTTTTAGTTTTAAAACTGAAGCCTAGTTTGTGTCGTGGTTACGAAAGCAAACAATTTTGTTCATAAGGCAAAGGAAGTTTTTGCTTTGATATGTTAAGAACATCAGATTGAGGAGCAAATTTTTTAGCGAATTAACCACTGACAAAAATAAGGTTAGGTTAGGTAGGGTTGGTTAGGTTCGGTCATATATCTACGTTAATTTTAACTCCAATAAAAAAAAATTGACCTCATACATAATGAAATGGGTAGCTTTATCATTTCATAAGAAAAAAATTAGAGAAGATATATTAATTCAGGAAAACTTGGCTTATTAGGCAAATCGGGCCTTGCATAGTAGGCTGAGAAGTGCGTTCTGGCTACTAGGTACGACATATATATATATATATATATATATATATATATATATATATATATATATATATATATATATATATATATATATATATATATATATATATATATATATATCGTGAAACAGAGAAACTGTTTCAATGCTGAAACAGAGACGAATGCGCTGGCTCGGGCACGTTGTGCGAATGGGCGACGGCAGGATCCCCAAGGATCTCCTGTATGGAGAGCTGAGGCAGGGAAAGCGTCCAACAGGCAAGCCCCAGCTACGGTACAAAGACGTATGCAAAAGGGACCTGAAAGCCATGGACGTCGATCTTGCTATATGGGAGACACTGGCTGCAGACCGTTCAACCTGGAGGCAGTCTGTTCAACGAGGTCTCTCCAAGTTCGAGGAGTCACTTGCCAAGGAATCGGAGGCAAAGAGACAGAGAAGGAAAGCCGGTAGCCAGGAAGACAGACCAGAATCGGACTTCGTTTGTGCTCGGTGTGGGATGGACTGCCACTCTCGGATTGGCCTCATCAGTCACACCAGACGCTGCACCAGGATTGACAACTAGGGCGCAACTCCATAGTCTCCCGAGACTGAAGGATGCCTACATATATATATATATATATATATATATATATATATATATATATATATATATATATATATATATATATATATATATGTCGTACCTAATAGCCAGAGTTGCCTAAGAAATAATTCGTTGTATTATATATATTTGGGATTTTTGGAGTCAAATCTCGATGAGAAATTTGAACACTATCCTAAACTAACCGAAGTCAGTAATTCACGTGTAGTATATAATATATTAATATTAGGAATGAACCAATTTGGAAATATATATTTAATAGAGAAAAACGTTTTGGGTGTTAAGCAAATCGGGTCTTGCTGACTAGGACAGGTAATGTGGTTCTGGCTATTAAGTACGACATATATGTGTGGTATTGTTATTGATATTAATACATATTCGATTTATTTCACTGTTATTGTTATTATGTCGTTATTAGAGTCGGTTTATTTATTATTATTATTGCCTAGACAACAATTACCAAGTTATTGAGATGAACTAAAACATTAGCCATAAAAGGATAACCCCAGAAATTTCAGTTTTCCTTACTAATATTACTCGCAGAATTACTTTCCTTCGCCAAGAGGTATTGGGAAATCGTACATAAGACGGTCCGAGAAATCTTTTTCTGATTGTTAAACCCATTTATATCGTTAGGCTAGAATTTATTAGCTTAAGTTAGACTCGGTTAAGTTAGGGTTGGTAAGGTTAGGCAGGTTCTACACTTTGTTAGTGAACATCTTGTGTGTAGTGTATACTTGGGTAATGGGTATGACTGATGCTTCACATTGTAGTCGGCTCACAGAAGTATAGCCTAGTGTTTGATGTCCGTGTAGGCTGAGACGTTTGGGCATGTTTCCTTACACTTGATGCCTTTGTTCGCCTAGCATTTAAAGAAATACCTGGGAGTTAGTCAACTGTTGTGGGTGGCATCCTCTGAAGGTCAGTCGTTAACCAAGGAGGATCTCGGTGAAGCTAACAGGCTCTCTGTCCCCGACAATGGAAACCGTTATTGGAAATGACATAAGACGTATTTATTATCATATTGTGATCCACGAAATAACGCTCACAATTTTCATATAAACAATGTGGATGAGCCTATGGTGCATGCCATTATTTTTATTACATATTACTGACATCCAGTCAGGTCAGGTCTTAGCTATGTAGCTATTCAAATGTTCTCATTTGAAAATATCTCGAAGGAACCAAAATCAATGCTAAAAATGGCAAAAAAATTTAAAATTAATATTAAATCAAATTACAGTGTACTCCTATTATTTTTTCTGAAAAAATGTTTTGGATAGAAAGTCTTTAAACGATCTATTCAACACGTCCTCAGAGTTTGCTCTTCCAATCTGTTTCTATCACTAAAGGAACTTTCAAAATATTTATTGTACTGTGAAATCAAACCTATTTTCTCAAATTATTATACATTCTAGTTTGTGTATAGTTATGCCTAATGGAAGAGAGAAGAAGTGTTTTAGTTGTGTTGGTAATTATTTGTATTTACAGAAAGTGGATGAAACAATAGGTTGAACATGATCAATTTTTCCACTATAAAAAGGTAGTATGGCTGCAGAATTAACCAGCATTTGGTCAATGTTTCTGTATTTACGTATGTAGGTTAGCTTAGCATTTTAAAAGCACCGAATCACATTCTGTGGTTGACTGTTCAATAAACCCTTGAACTATATGTTTAACACATCTCTAACCCTGTCCATGGAGGACAGAAGAAAATGTATATATGCTGCTTAGCATTGTAAATTTGTGGCCACGTCTGTGGTAGAAAATAATAAATAAAAAATATGTTTTGGGGATCTTCTTGAGATCTTGAGATGATTTCGGGGCTTTTTTAGTGTCCCCGCGGCCCGGTCTTCGACCAGTCCTCCACCCCCAGGAAGCAGCCCGTGACAGCTGACTAACAGCCAGGTACCTATTTTACTGCAAGGTAACAGGGGCATAGGGTGAAAGAAACTCTGCCCATTGTTTCTCGCCGGCGCCTGGGATCGAACCCAGGACCACAGGATCACAAGTCCCGCGTGCTGTCCGCTCGGCCGACCACCCAAAGCAGTGGCCGACCCAAAAGATGCATTAAATAATTTTTAACACACTATGTTTTCAAAATCGGTGTTTTCTCAAATTTAAATACATCTAAACCAATTAAAGGAAGATGCCTGCTTGTCCAAGGTTGGAGGCTAGACCCCTTTGGTTTAGCCTCATCCAACACTGCTTGCTGATTGAGGTAACCAGCATGAGAGGTTAGGTAAGATTCGGACCTATTGCTCCCATTAATGAGTCGGTGATGCCCAAGGTGACCCCCATGAAATTGCTGCCGACCCTGGCACCAGGTCGACCTAGTATAATTTTTTTTTTTTTTTTTAAACATTAGGCACTATATCCGGGAAAAATAAAAGCAAATTCAACGCACCAGAGTTTGCCTGTAGTAAGGTGAAGACTTACTGATGATGTCATGGAATTTACTCGATGAGAGGCCCATTTTATCATTTGGTTATTGTTGATGAAGATAGGCTGAACATTTACAGTGGGGGGGGGGGGGAGGTTTTGAACAGAAGACGTCAACAAAATAGTGTTTGTTCTTATAAACAAAGATGCTCATTAATCCAGTTTATGAATGAAAAACACTTTGCACGTGACTCACGCCTGATGACATTCAAACATTTATCGAAAAGTGCTTCTCTCATGACCTCTGTTCGAATCCCAACTCTGTAAATGCTTCACCCACATACTACAGGCATAAATACGTCATCCCACACATTACCAAGAGAACCTAAACACCTAACCTATGTCAAAATATACAAAATAAGCTAATATATATATATATATATATATATATATATATATATATATATATATATATATATATATATATATATATTTTATTAATAATAATAATTGTATTTATTTACA